GAATTCTTTTACTAATATTAAATAAGCATTTTTAGATAGTGGGATTCATTTTTTTACTCACTTGGCCCTTGGCATTTTCTGTTAGTGCCTTGACTAGACTGTCCTGTGGCATTTTGCAGAGGTGGTTAAATGTGATCTCCATTTGACAGTGGAACCAATGATACCTAGAATAGTAGGCTGACTTTTCCAAGGTAAGGGGAAATTGGCATCAGAAGCAGGAGCAGAACTCAGTAACATTGAGGACTAGTGAGGACTAATGTGCAAGGTCTTCCCATTTCAGGGTCTCAGAAATTTCAGAACTTCCATCTCTCTCAGGAGTCCCTGTCATTATCCCTGTCCTGTGCTCCCTGGTTGCATTTCAGATTCATACTGGGGTAAACCCATGGAAAGCTGAGCCTTTTATTTTCCCTTTACCTACATGTAAGAATCTTAGCCTATTGTCTGTATTTGATTAGGTGGAAACATTATTGGTGGCCATGGGAAGGGCATTGGAAATCTTGGAATTAAATCAGGACATGGGATTTGTTACTGCTTCCCAAGACAGAACTGTTATTGTGAGAAAGATGATATCAAAGGTAAGTCTACCTGCTGTTCTTATAGTAATCCTTATCTCTGTATACATCATGTGTACATATAGAACTATCTACACTTGTGGCCATGTTAGTAAGCCATATCTTTGGTCAGAGACTGCTAATACAGAACTAGTGAGGAACTGGCACCTTGACATCCACTAGGGAGACTGAAAATTTCCAGAACTGGTTATTTATAGCCTTGGCTAAGGATTCTTTTTTATTCATTACTACTTGATAAACAAGTTGGTCATCCTTTGATTTCCAGCAGCATTTGCATTTCAGTGAGACTTACCTGATATTTGCAGAGGCAGCTAGGAGAATTAGAATAATGATTTCTATTACTTTCAAGTAATTCCAGCTTCCTGATAATTTCTGAAAAGTCTCAGCCTCAAAATGTCAGAGATAAACATCACTCATGGTGTTAGGAGGAGGAGTGCAATACTTTTTTCCTTGACCTTTGTTTAAACAGAAAAGCTTTGTGCAGTTGTTTGAAACAGATAATGGATATTTTAAATTGTTTTTACTTTGGTTAATAATAAACATAGCATTAAATAGTTTGCACCTTTAAAACGGAATTATTGTGCAGAAGTAAGAGGCCACAGGGAAAATTCTAAGAAGCTCTTCTTGCTCCACAGAGCAACTGTGCGATGACTTGTGCAAGACTGTGATCACAGGGGCAGTGGTGCTGTGCTTCGTCATCTCCGTGCTGGTTTCCTTCTACTGCATCCACCGGTACCACAAGAACGCCCCGAAGCCGCCCATCGCCTCTGCAGAAATGACGTTCCGGCGCCCCGTGCAGCCCTACCCCATCAGCTACTCCTCCAGCAACGTCCGCCGGCCTTCCCTGGACTCCATGGAGAACCAGGTGTCTGTGGACACCTTCAAAATACCAGTAAGCTGATGCCATTTTCCATGCTGATGTCAGCCTTGTTTATGCATGCAGACAGTGTTACAGGGGTGCAGTCCATTCATGGAAACACCCATTACTTTCAAATAGCAGCACTGGAAATCACATGCACTGAAGATACTTCATGAATAATTGCATAAACATTTGAATTTGCTCTATAAGGCCAGTGTGTTCTTCCTTTTTTATTATGCTTTAATACATTGTACCATTTTAGGTTGATTTAAGCCAATGATTTTTACTGATGTAAGTGCATCTGACAGTACTGTGGTTTTATTTTTAACTTAGTACTCAACTCCAGTTGAGTACTAATGATCAGCAGGTTTGTATTCTCTCTAATGTGCCAAAGTGCTACAACAACACTAAGTTTCAAACATTACAGAAAAATTCCTCCTGAGATCTCTTCCTGATTTCTGATACACACATTGTAGATACCAGTTGGTGTGGGAGTTTTACCCACATTTAAGGATTTATGCCCAGTCATGCTGTCATACCTCTACTTTTTCCTGCTTTGAATCACACACTACCCAGGATTCCTTCTAGATGGAATGTTTTTATGAGCCAACGTGGTAAAGAAACGCTGCTGCTTTATATGGCAGCATCAGATCTGTTTGAGTGTTAGGTACTGAGGTCTTCACCAACCTTGTGCTCTGTTTCCTTTGGTTTCTTCTCTGGTTTGTACATCTGTCATCATTTTGCAGCCTTAAGGCTTATTAGCAGTAATTTTATAAGAGGATGATTGTTGTCTCTGATTAGTTCTCAAGGGAAAACCTTATTGAATGAAACTTCTCCATGAAAGTCACATGTTCATAGTTATTCTGAAAGCAAGCATTTATCCTGTATCACTTCATTTTTCATTTGTACCTGATTTCCCAGACCTGTAAATATTATTATTTATAGTCTATTATCCATAGACTACCTGTACAGCCTTGTTTTCAGGTAAGGGAAAGTACATTTGCAAAATACCTCGATACCCAGAAGCTTTTATAAGAACTCACTGATGCTGATAAAAGAGCAGCCAAACACTGCACACTGAAGTGCACCTATACCTAGGAATAGCTGCTCTTTTCCTTGCTTCATCTCACAGGGTTTCTTTTCTCTCCTGCAGGAAGATCCAAAGTGGGAATTCCCTCGGAAGAACTTAGTTCTGGGCAAGACTCTTGGAGAAGGAGAATTTGGAAAGGTTGTCAAGGCGACAGCATTCCGACTTAAGGGAAGGGCTGGCTATACCACTGTGGCAGTGAAAATGTTGAAAGGTACCTTCCCATCAGGGCTTGAAATGATTTGCAAACTATTTGTGGTAACCTCTGAATGGATTTTAAGAGGGGCTTGTGTGAAAGCAAAAGGTCAGCTAAAAACCCAGCAGTGTCACAGCTTCTCTTTCTTCCAGCATTCTGATACATTCTGACAGTCACAATCTGCAGATTTGTGACTTTAGCAGTTAGCATCACATTGATCCAAGTAAGTAATTCTAAATCATGATGTGCAAGGAGCCTCTGTCTTAACAAGGCAAATATATTCGATTCTGTTTGGCATTGATGGAAATATTGCAAGGGTTTGTTAAAGCTTTCTGCTTCTTTTCTTCTATCCATTTTCCTTGGACAAAGCTTTTTAAATAAATCACTTGATAATCATATGAAGAGACAGTACAGACCTGTTAGCTTTACTCTCCTGATTGAGAATTATGTCTAGTTTTATACTTTCTCATCTACTTTTCAATGAGTAGGAGCTCTGTCAGAATGGCTTGAATAACCCAGTGCTGTCTCCTGCTGTCTTCAGTTTACCCTAAGACTTTAAACCTGTGGGGAACAAAGTATGCCTAGATAATGTTAAGGTGATAATATGAGACCTTGCACTTAACCATTCGCTGCTGCTTACGAGTAAAAGCATGTCATTACAGGAAAATGTTGTACTTCTTATTACCATTCCTGTTATAGTCAAAGCACATTTGCTACTCCTTGAGAGGAAAGATGCTGCATATCCCACCCCTTTACCTAAGAAGTAAATGCATTGTGCAGTGCATGCCTTCATTGCAAGAGGTTCAGGTCACATGGAGGAAGTCGAAGAACAAAGATTTTTCAGAAGTGAAGATTAATTAACTATTACTTGTAATACTCAAGTAATGACCTGTGTTGTATTATGTTGTCAGTACAATGGTCACTATTTCATCTCATGTATATTTGTGTACTTAGTGACATTGCTTTTTCTAGCACATTTTCATCAACATGTGACTGAGTTCAGATTCTAAGATACAGTGGTAAAAATGTTGCTTTTACTTGCAGATGGTTTGACTTTCAGTTTTTCCTAGCTGTTATGGAGGAAAGAATTGACCAAATTGACAATGCAAAGGAGTAAACCTTTATTTTAAGCACCTTATTTTAATAAATTGATCTGACATTTACTGTAATACTTCAGGCTCTAATGAAGCCCTCTGTAATGTAAATTAAATTGCAGATAGTCAGCTGAAATTCCATTTTCCAGCTTGACTGTGGGGAGCATTTGTCATTCTGCAGATATTTATGTGCTATTATTGGCTTAACTTTACTGTTCACACATGACAATTGAAGCATGAGGACCAGTGCGTTAGCTTCAGTGGCCTTTGCAATCCTGCCAGGAAGGACAAAGGGCAGTTATTTTGGATCAGACCAGCACCACCTATTCTTCCCCTGTACCAGATGCAGAGCAGGTCATTTGTCCAAGTGTTAGAAACTGAGTGATCTTTAAAGGGCAGTAGTAGGCAAACTGGTATGCTATTGCCTCTTATTACATGAAGATCTCCTGCCTGGGCTGGGTAGATGGGCAAAATCTGGGTAAGACCAGGACTCTCCCTGCTGTGACAACTTGGTGGTACTGTGGTAGGGAACAGGGAGCAATGAGCTGAGCCAGAATAGTCTTGGAGCTATGGATGGAGGTTTAAAGGAACAGATGGATAACTTTTTTTCAGCCCATTGTTACCACTTTTCTCATATGAATGAAATTTGACCTCCTGCCTGATACGAATGCCCTCATTACAATAAAATTAAAGGGGAAAACACCAACCAATACATAAATACAAACTATTCAGAGTTTGTTAAAATGAGCGGCCTAAAGCTTTAGAGCTAAATGTCTCCATTTGAAGTTAGTTTTTTTTGGTAGACAAACAGGCATGGTACATGTTAACTTTGGTGTGTTCTGTTTGTTCACATCACACAGCTCCAGAACTGCAAAAATAGGACTTTTCCTACAGGCATTAAGTTGACATTTTTGATTTTTGTTTTACATAAATATGTGCTTTGTGTAGTTTTTATCAAGTGAGAGACCAGCTGATATTGTTCCCCCTGAGTGGAAGATTCTCTACAGTGAGTGCAGATTCAGAGTACAAGATAATATTAGGCAGATACAAACATGCAGTTCAGATACAAACATAACAGTAGAACAGAATAACTATTTTTATAAGGAGGGCAAACTGGTCACACATGAATAGGCAAATAAATCCTTTGGTGCTCACAGCCTTTATGAAAAAAACCACACAGTACAGTGCCAAAGAGCAGAAGCCAAACTTGTTTTTATTATCCTTAAATCAGGATGAGCACATCCTTGTCAATGCCCAGTGATGACACTGGAGGAACTGTCCAGGCTGGTTCTGTGTGTCAGAGAGATTAAGGATGAGGAAGAAGAAGGGTTATCTCTGACCTATGGTGTCTTTATGACTAGAGATCTCCTTCAAGCCCCAGTGCACTCAAAGAGGAAGCTTGTCAGTGTGAAGAATTCTGCAGAAAGGCAAAAAACACTTGAAAGGTTAAGCCTTTTGGGGCCATATGTTGCCACATGATTCTCACTGACATCGGTGAAGTCTGCATATGTGTCCCCCAGTAAAATCAATTTTTAATTGTACATTTAACTTCTGAATGCTGAATCTGGATGTATGCTACAAGAGTAAGCTGGTAGATTAGTGGATTTTTACTCTGTTGGAAAATGTATTTAGGAGAAGGAATGAGTGAGTCTATTTTTGTTTGATCAGCGTGAGAGCTTGGCTTTCATAGGCTTCTGAAGCTTTTATTGCACTGGATCACCCTAAGAAGTTGCTTTAGAACACCAGAAAAGGTCTGTAATAATTTCATGGCATTTAAGACATTATAGACTCGGGTCCTGATTCTTGCCTGACCTCCTTGTTCTGCAGTCCTTAGTATCAGGGCAGAGCAATGCTTAGAGCAGGCTGCTAGCAAGCCACATTCACTTGCTTCTGATGTGGATGGCTGCAGGACACCAGAGATGTGAAAATTTCTCTCCTGTGGGGAAGTACAGAGTTTTCCAACCTCTTGCTAGCTCCGGGAGAGATGGTAGATCTCCTATTTCACACTTTACAATAGAGAACTCTCGAGTGATGCTTTCCTAACCAAAACTGTGTGTCTGTTCACTTTCTGCAGAAAATGCTTCCCAGAGTGAACTGCGAGATCTCCTGTCAGAGTTCAACCTTCTGAAACAAGTCAACCATCCTCATGTCATCAAACTTTATGGAGCCTGCAGTCAAGATGGTAAATACTAAAAGCTTGTTACTAAGATGAAACCACCCAGAAAAAAAATATAATGCTGTTTGTTGGTGGATTTCAACAACTGCTTAATGATTGCCGAGCATCCTTTAAATTTGCTGTTGGCTGAAAAAAGAGGGATATATTAAAGGAACAGTACTTGAAGGGAAAGGGAAATACTAAATCAGTGTAACTAAGCATTCTTCTGTGGTTTTCCTCAATGCACATTTTGATTCTAAAGCTATTTTAAATTACAAGTCTCATACAAATTCTCTTCCAATCAATCTATATTCTTATATTCTGTTAATAATCATTGTTTTCAAATGTGACTTACATTTCAAGTTTGAGTTTTCATTATTGTTGTTATTGTTTATACTAAAACAATGTAAGTAGACAACTACAGCCATATATAGACAAATATAGCTGGATAGTTAGGTTGATACTCAGTTTGCCTCCACTGTCATAAAACTGTTGTCTCCCTCTGGTTATGAAATGGTTTCTAAAAGTCACAGTCATCAGCAAGCATGTTTCAAGGAGAAAAATCTGCAGACACATGTATTATAAATTGCCAATGAAACAAATTTTGTTTTGAATAGGAGTTGCTCATTTTAAGTGAAGTGGCATGGCAACATTCTCTTCCTTTTGCATCTGCAGTTGTGCAGCCTGAAATCGCAGCATGGATTCTGCAAACTTGGGCAAAGGCCTGCCTTCTTTGCCCACCCAGTTCTGTTGCAAATGTCACTTTTTAGTTGTAGACAGAGAATGTAATTCAGGAGTGAGTCATCTCTGAGTCTTAGTAAGGTAATGAGCCAGTGGGGTGGGTTAGTTGTTTTTTTTTTTCTTTTCAGTACAATGTATTTTTCATCCCAAAGGAAGTGAAAGGTTTCTGAGTCACAGGCTTTTAATAATATCAAGTTAATTCATTAGTGTATGAGGTAGGAGGGCTTTGATACAGCACACAAATGTATTTATCATTAGGTAAGTATTATTGAGTAGATATTATTCATGTGCGTAATGGGGAGGAAAAATTAATGGATTGTAATACCAAAATGTTTCTAAGTGCTGTCAAAAGGCACCTTAAACACAGTGCTGGAATTAGCAGATCATTTGAGCTCAGTATCACAAGCCCAAGAAGATCATTTTAATTTTAAAGTATCTCTAAGTTAGGCTGTTTCACAGATCCAACTTGTATGAAGGTTGTCTGTTTTTTTGGTCTCAGATTATCTAGATGAGGGATTATAGGCAAGAGCCAGCATTCTGCTTTGATTTAGCCTGAAACTCATTCTCATTGCATAGAGGATCTAAGCTAAAAATACTTTTATTTCAGTGCTTTTTGCATAAAAGACAGAGGTGTCTGGAGCCTCTGACTGTTCAAAACAATATGCTGATTAGAAAAGACCCCTAAAATGGTTATCTATGAATTGTTTACTGAGCTGTGTGTTCGTTTATTTCAGGCCCACTGTATTTAATTGTGGAATATGCCAAATACGGCTCTTTGCGCAGTTTCCTCAGGGAAAGTCGAAAAGTAGGCCCGAGCTACGTGGGCAGTGATGGCAACAGAAATTCCAGTTATTTGGATAACCCTGATGAGAGAGCCCTAACGATGGGAGACCTGATATCGTTTGCATGGCAGATATCCCGAGGGATGCAGTACCTTGCAGAAATGAAGGTAGGGCAGGCAGGGGTGATCTCAGCGTGTGATAGACGTGGAGCAAGCAGCTGGTTCCTCACAAGAAGCATAAACACTCCTGTTGTTTCCTTCCAAAAGCTTGTGCATCGGGATTTAGCAGCCAGGAACGTGCTGGTGGCAGAAGGGCGCAAAATGAAGATTTCTGATTTTGGCCTCTCGCGTGATGTATATGAAGAAGATTCCTATGTAAAGAGGAGCAAGGTACAGTGTGTGAAAAGCAGCAGTGGAAATTATTGCCTAATCAAGGAAATTAAATTATACTGTGGGACTTGAGCATGGATGATAAGGAGAGTGGCTGTTTTTATTAACTTAAGATAATTATTTTAAGGAAATAAAAATGACAGTGAAGTAAAAGCATGAGTTTAACCAGTGGGATAGAAATACATATATATATATATATATATATATATGAAGTAAACTATGTATCATCTTTAAGTAACTATTACCTCTTCCACTCCTCATTTATCTAGTCCTCTCATTCCATTCCTTATTTGTCCAGTTCCTCATCAGACTACATGAAAACACAAAAAAAATACCCATCTTTTTTTCTTTCTCTCTTCCTATTTATAATTTAAATTATCAACTAAAAATACCAAAGAGCTGAAAAATAAATAGACAATTTATATCAAGTTCCACACAACTTCCACAAGTCAGTCCTGGGCTAGACTGTGATGTTCGTGAACACAGCATCCCACTGACTGTGTCAGATGAGCAATGGTGGTTCAGTTCCCTCTGCAGCTTAATATGAAGGAGCTGCCAGCAGAATTCTTTTGCGTGTGAAAATGTTAAGATTTTATGAGAAGATTTCCATAAATACTCTGAATTTTTAGTTTAGCTTTCTCTGTTTTTAAGGGCCAGTTTGTGTGAATGTTGCATAAGTCAAAACGAGTTGTGTGGAAAAAAGCTTCTAGAAGACATGATCTTATGTAAAAGGGCATTGCCATGTTCATTTAGCTGTCTTCTGATGGATGTGTGTTTACATTGATTCATAACAATTCCTCTATATTTTACGAGTAATGCATTTACATAAAGGCAGTTTGGCAGTTTAGTTGTATTTGGTGGGGCATGATGTATTGAGTGGATATTTGCTCTTTACTTCTGAGACACTCACCACTTCAGTATTATTCAGAGCCTAACAAGCATCTGTCTGCTTGGATGGGGAGACAGGGAAAATAAGAATTTGAGAAGGAAGAGGAAGTTTCAAATCCTACTGAAATACTTTTTACATCGATATATATGGATTTTGTGAGAATGAGAAGTAAGACATATGAGTGCTAATCATACTGTGAAGGTTATGAAACATCTTGGAAATCTTGCATACCTATATTTTTATGAATATTTGTGGTAGATTACTCAGATTTTCTCAGTGAATTTCTGCCAGTGAAAAATAGCAACTTGTAGATTCCACTTAGAAACTAGTAACTAAATATGACTGTCCAGGTTCAGTTCTGAAACCAAAGGAATCTGTAACATCCCGGTGCTTCTATTTATGCATCATCCCTAGTATAAATTAGATAGTTCATCCTCTTTAATCATCATTCCTCATCATTTTTGCATCTGCACATTAACAAAGCTCTTTGTTAAGAGTTGAGTTTATTTGAATTAAACTGGTAACCACCTGCAAAAAGCCTCACCAGCTTATTGCACATAATTAGATTGCTGAAGTGTGTGAGAGCACATGACCTAGTTTGTTTAAAAAATCTTAAAATTATTCTATTCACTGTTTTTCTTACGAAATGCCAAATCATAAGTGCATTGGCAAGTGCTGTAGTTTTACTACTACAGACTGTGTTTTACTACTTTGAAGACAAATATCTTGTTTTTTTTCACTTGGAAACTTATTTGTCTGACCATTACTGCTTTTTTACCCCCTAGGGTCGAATCCCTGTGAAATGGATGGCCATAGAGTCACTATTTGACCATATCTACACAACACAAAGTGATGTGTAAGTGTAAATTCTTTAATACTTTCTGGTTTGTGTGCTTGTTTACGGAGCTGGGGGAGGAAGCACAGCAGGTGTGCAGGAGCCAAAGCCATTACTCTTGCAAAGAAATGTGAAGGAAGTCTGGATGGCACCATCAGCTGGCAATGATGCCCAAGATTTTTGCTGTTGAATTAAATCTAAAGAAAAGATTATCAGGGTATTTATGTACATAATTCTTGTTGAAATCAGCAAGGGTTGGATCTGTTCATGTGACATGGTTGACTTTGAATATGTAGACACAGGTTGGTAGAGTTTGCTACAGATAATGGTCACACCTGAACTTCTCTGTTCTGTTCATCATTTGTCTGTAACACTGAGTGGCAGGTGAGGGATGGAGTGGAAGAAAGGAAAGGGAATTTAATGCTTGTCCTCTCTCCTGTTGAAATCAATGACAAATATCCAGTCAGCTCAGTCAGGTTTCAGTGCCAAGATACAACCTTATTTTCATGATTGGGGAAACAGAGCCCCTGAATTTGGATATGCTGGAATCTCCACCTGTGATGAAGAGGAGGCAAAGCAGCCACAGCTGAATTATCCCCATGTCTGATAAGCATGGGGCCAGGCAGAAAAGTGTTTGTAGACATTTTAAATTCAGAATCAGATGCTTTTCATTTCTTTCTCTCTGGGGTGAACGATACTTGTGACTGGTCACCAGACTGACTCTAAAGCTAAAGATTATTTATTTAGGAGAAAAACCTCTAGAGGACTGTAAAAGCAGCAGTACATAGGTCTGATTTTATGCTAGGTAGAATCTTGATACCTTCTAAGTTTGCCTTGAAAGAGAGCGTGTCTTGCTCTCTTGTAATGTTTTTGTTATACTCAAATGGAGTAAAATGCCAATTTGGGTGGCATTGAACTTTGAGGGGAAAAACACTTTGATAATAGCAGGATGTCAAAATATGCACCTTTAGATTTATACTTCTAAAATTATTACCATTAACTTTTTACTCTTCTCTCTGCAGATAGAGCAGTTTTAGTGAAATAAAATATTTTGCACACCTTGGAAATTCCTTACAAAATGAATTTCCAAAGTTTTCTCCTGTACTTTATCCGTTGGAGTAAGAAAAGGAGAAAATAGGGATAATTCTTGAGATAATGTCACTTTTACTTAGGTCAGTGTACAAGTTTTTCTGGGTCTCTTTTTATTCTCCTCAGAGCATCCATTGTGCTGAGTTGCTTCTCTAAAATTACTTTTCCCAAAGAATTGTTAAAATTCCTTTAAAAACCTCTAAGCATATTTTTAATTTCTTCTGTTTTATCACTATGGTTTGGGGCCAGAACAGATTGTGTTGTCATGCCTCTTCTTTGATTGCTGATTGATCATCTGGATCCAATAGCATTCCTCCCATTCCATTTTCCTGATGGGGTGCTATTAAGTAAGCCCAGGAGCGTGTTTCCTGTCAGTGGGATCCAACCCCACGCAGAGATTGCCCAGCTGGCATCACGCAGCCAGCTCAGAGCCCTGGGCAGCACAATGTGCTGTGTGCTGCCCTGCTTCCCAGGGCTGGCTTAGGATCTCTGTGCAGAGCTGTGCTGCTTGCCCAGCTCTCCTGAGGTGCCTCAGGAGCAGGGCACTGTGCCGTGCACGTCTGCTCCATGCAGTGCCAGAAAGGCTCCAGGTGTCTGCTGTGCTTACACTGTGCCTTTGTCTCACTGCTGGCTCACCTTTGCTGTGTCATTGTACATTAAATAATCCAGGAGTGCTCTATAGCAGCTCCTCATTTAGCCAGGTTCCTGCAGAGCAGAACTGAGACTCACACCACAGAGCTGCAGAGAAAATCCTCTCCAGCACCAGGTTCCTTTTGCTACATTGATGTTTTAGATAATAGCACTCACTGAAAATATTATTTTATGGATATTATTTGGTGTTTGTGGTGATGCAGTTATATTTTAGGTGAACATATTACTCTACAACCATTCCATTATGCCCTTTTTTTCTGATATTCTATTTCTGTTTTCCACCCTCTTCCTCTTCAAGATGTTCTGTATAGTTAGTGGTCAGCAGAGCTTAATAACAGTACCACTTGCCAGCATTTACAAAAAACCCGTTTTTGCTTCAGAGGTTGATGACATCAGTGGAAAGCTAACCTACTATCTTCTTCACATACTTTTCTTTCCTGGCTTTTTGTGATTATATTTTTATTCAACAATAAACCAAATACAGTGGGAAATTCTTCATTTCTCATTTCTTCTCCTGTAGTACTTAATTTGTATAACAATCTGAAAGTACTGCAGCATTCTACAGCATTCTATTCTAATATGTTCACTTACTGAACAACTTCAGTTAAGAAATTGTTCATCTGATCCCTCCTTCCATATTCTGTAAATTCCTCCTAAGCAGAAGTGGATTTTGGAAATAAAACTGCCGTGCTCCAGAGTTTATTTGAATTAATCATGGACAGCATTGTAACCTGATGGCAGAGCATAATTGGCTTCAAAAAGGATATGAGGAGAAATATTAATAAAGTATATGAAAATGCTATAAATATTAATATGATTTCAAGAATGTGCAGAGTGATTAAAAATTAATTCAGTGAATGGCATTAGGCAGAGGAATGGCAGCATACCACTTGGGACCGTGTGAGAGTCACTTTGACTTCTCTGACAATGTGGGAAGTTTTATTACTGTACCTTTGGGGTTACTTTTGTTCTTTAAAATGTGAGAAGCGCAGGTGGAAGAGAGTCAGACAGGAGATGAGGTATTTGGCTAACATTTTAAGATGGAATTTTCATAGGGAGTTAGACACGGCTGTTTGGTTTGGCAGTAGGTGTCAAACACTTCTTAAAATTTTCTTTAAAATGGAGTTTACAGAAAAATTGCCCAAAGCTAGTGTTTTTCATAAATTGTATGCAATTTTGCTTCCAGATGCATCCCATTGAGCAGCCCCAGTGTAGACTCATTTCCTTCCTTTCAGGCATCCAGATTTTGTCAGTTGTCAGTTTAGCAGATTCAGAGTCAATTGTAGCTTCTTTGTGTCTCAAAAAACCTTTCACTAAGAAAAGAAAATAATTTTTGCCTCATTTCTCCTGGCTTGCTCTCCAGTAATGGACTAATTTATCTAAATATTTCTCACCCATTGTGCAAGGTCTTTTTGTTTGCGCTCAACAGAAATTCACTATTTCTTTTGTTGATTTCAGAAAGTGGTTTCTTCTGTTCTGTGTCAGAGTTCATTTTAGGCATTTGGTATTTCCAGAGGAAATTTTTTCCTCTTCTTTCATCAAGAAAGAAGATTAAGTCCTGAATTACTGAAATGGCCCAGCTGACCAGCTGAAGTCAAAGGTGTTACTTTTGATTGAAATAAACACCTTGTGTTGTCTCAGTCGAGACAGCAAACCAGCCCTGTGGTAACTCTGTAAATTTAATTCAGAGTTATTCTGAATACAGGAGCTAATTAGGGAGGTTAGACTGATGCAGGAGCCCTGTGCAGCAGAGGAACAAGTCTTTGGGCTGGGCCACCAGAGGAAGGATGACTTCTTTCTGCTGTCTAGAGAAGATGGATCTTCCCAGGGTATATTTAGCTTTTATCAGTGGATAAAATAGGGGTATCTGTTCTCTCTACTGTCTTGGTTGCTAACATTTTCAATGAACAGTATTTGGGAACAAGGATGGCCCTGCTTGCATCTGAACAGCTTCTCTGTCATGAGGTGCCTTGAATTTTGTTGATTCTGAAAATAATAGGAAGAGGTTTGTTGTGTAAATGCCACACTAAGCTTGTGAAACTTACCACTCTATATAAAAGCTGGTTTTGTCTTTTTCAGATGGTCATTTGGAGTTCTGCTATGGGAGATCGTTACTTTAGGAGGCAATCCTTACCCAGGTATTGCTCCTGAAAGACTCTTTAACCTCCTAAAAACAGGCTATAGAATGGAGAGGCCAGAAAACTGCAGTGAAGAAATGTAAGTAACTCTTGATCTGATTAGATTCAGAAAACATTAATAAGTATACTTGGAAAAAAAAAAGGTTTAAATAAAACCCTCATAAATACTATTCTGTTTTTCTTAGAGATATAGTCAAAATATGTCATGCTTTAAGGAATATGATGAAATCAGTGAACAGTAAAGTGAGGGGAAAAAACTGCCCACAGAATGCCTACAGCTATATCCAAACCATTTGTAGGGTATTGAATAACATGCTTGCCAAACAATTAAAAGAGTTTGTACATTCAAAACTTCTGAGGGTAGGGGAAGGAGGAAACTCCATAAAACACAGTGGTAGCTGAAATATTCAAGAAAATGTCATAGTACTTTCTGCAAATGAAACAGATACTCCATCCACAGTCATTGTCTATTAGTTGTCACAGCATTCCAGAGGAAAAATGGCACCATGGCCAAGAAATCTACACCCCTGAAGATAAAAATTTTCTGTGACTTGATAAGCCCATGGCTTTGGAGACAGTTCATAATTTGTTGGCTGATTCATTAAAACACATTCAATGTGAAATACCTTTTTTTCTGTTATCTTCCATGGCATTTGGTGATGAGGCATGATTTTATGTTCATTGATTCTGGTTGCGGTTTATTGAAAGTTCCCAAGCTTCAATCATTGTGATCACTCTTTTGACTGATTTTCAGTTGGAAGGATGCTTTGTCCACATCTGGGCTGAGAAAAAAAAATTTAATATAAATAATAGTGTAAATAATATTTTTTTTAACATACAGAGAAAAACATTAAGTATTTCCAAATTTAGGGCAGTGTAGAAGCTTACAGGAATGATTGGCAATTATAGTCTAAGAAATGTATAATACTAGTTCTTTATTTGTTTCATCTCAGTGAGGAATATTCATTCCACAAACACGTTATGTCATTGATAATTATTATTTTAGGCAAGCTGACCACATCTGAGTTTCTGGGATTTTTTAAATTGAAGCTAAATCATGGTTTTCTGACTTTTTTCAGATTTTCTTCTGTTTTACTCAAATTTTTTCTGACAGCTTGTGAAAGCCCACTTTAAGGACCATTTTTCTCAAATTGCATTCTCTCCTATACTCAGTCAAGTATGAGAGGGGTTGTGGATGAAGGCATAAAATGCAGTGCTTTTCAGTAGCTTCCTATAGTTCTCATAGCCCACTGTTTCCACCATTAGAGCACTTATGTGGACAGATTACTCAGTCCTGAAACAGCTGAGCTAGAAAAATGACATGAATGGCACAGGTTGGAGAGGTACGCTTCCAGAACTTTCCAATGTCCGTCTGATAGTCACTCAACTATAAAACTTTAATTCTGTTCCCTTTCCTTTCCACATGCTGTGCTATAGAAGGCAGTTAAAGAGAGAATAAATAATAGATTTAATCAAAAGAACAATAATAGAAGTAATCAAAAGAACATTAGTTTCTACAAATTGTCTTAGGCTAGGCTTCACTTTGAAGAAAAGTTTACAGAAACTTAAGAATTCGAACAAATGAAAACCAGAATTCTGCTTTTTGGTGTAACAGCAGAGTTTTTCAGTTTGATACACAAATTTCTTGTGTCATACACAAAGTGAACTAGCAATCTGGCATGCTGTCCTTCTTTTGAGGTGGTTCCTTGAGAAAGTGAAACCTGAGAGGACAATCCTTCAAGGACAGCCAAGTGCATCATCATTTAAACTCATGGAGGCTCTTGAAAATAAAAGCCCATTGTTGCGAGTGTCAGTTGTTAATTCCAGGGAACATTTAACAGTACTCACAACAGAGATTGATGTACTTGTGGATGATCTTCATGCCACAGTTAAGTTCAGTGCTGTAAATCATTAGAGCAGAAGCAGGACCCATTTCTAACAGTTTGGGTTTTTTTCACCCTGTGACGGGTTCCAGGTACAGCCTCATGTTGCGCTGTTGGAAGCAAGAAGCTGATAAAAGACCAACATTTACTGAGATCAGCAAGGAACTAGAGAAAATGATGGTGAAGAGTAGGGTAAGTGTGGAAAACATGGAATTTGAAAATTTTTGTGGTCTTCTGAGTTTGAATGTACAGAAATAATTACTTTTAAATTTTATTTTAAAGCAAAGGAACTTATTCTTCATCAAATCTTGAAGCTTTTACATATCTAGTTCCTTCTACATGCATGCAGCTTTTTGAAAGCAGTATTACCTCTTCTAATAGCTTTGGTGACTTCAGGTCAAAATGTGGATGTATTATTCTTAACTTGTCTGTTTTCTTTAAATAATAGCAATAATTTAAAAACCATTATGAAAAGTTACTCCTAAATTTCACTCCTAAATAAATAACGTTAGAGAGCCAGAACTAGAAGAATGTGGTATTTCATGCATTTTAAATTAGTTGAAAATGCTTGACATTCACTTTTTTTTTGCATCAAAGCAATTCAGCAACACAAATAAAAACCAATTAATTCTTACTGGTGACCTACATATTTAGTTTTAGAACAGCAACCAAAGCTTTATTTGGCAATATTTACATAGTAATTTTATGCATTGTTATGTAATAGCTTTTGTAAAATGATTATGAGATCTGAGTACCTTGTCCTTTAAGCATGCATATGTATCTCCATATATATATTTCAGGCATAAATATGGATCAGGTGTACCAGCAGCTGAAGGGCAAACAGAGCAGTTAGGACAGCGTTGCAGTTTGTTGGGTGTTTTGCTGATGTGCAGAATTAAGTAGGGGAAGTACTCATATGTCTCTAGCAGAGGCATTGTTCAGGCAAATGAGATGCTGCCAGAGCTGCTGTGGCTGCTGGAAAGCAGAGCCTCCTCAGGTGCCAGAGGTTCTAGAGAAAGGTTAATGTAGTAGGCCTGTAGTTCCTTGCTGTAAAGAAAACAGGTGCACATTTATGGTTTTTACCCAAACTGCCACGTGCATTAATGCAGCTTTTTATGTATTTATTTCTCAGGACTACTTAGACCTTGCAGCTTCCACGCCCTCTGATTCCTTACTGTACGATGATGGGCTCTCAGAAGAGGAGACACCTCTCGTGGACTGTAATAATGCTCCCCTCCCTCGAACCCTCCCTTCCACATGGATTGAAAACAAACTCTATGGTAGAATTTCACATGCATTTACTAGATTCTAGCAACACACAAAAAAAGCTGATTTTTCTTCTGCACTGTTCTCAGACTCTGTAACCCCATTACAGTGTTTCTTGTCTGAATGAAGCCAATCAAAATTTGCTTGGAAGCTTTTTTGGGGGTTTTTGTTTGTTTGTTTGTTTGTTTTTTCTTTTGGTAAATGTCAAAGTTTGCATCAGGATCCATCCTTTAGTCATTTTGCAGCTGTGTCTAAAATAAACATTTTAAAAGGATGTGAAAATAAGTAAAATGACTAGATATCATACAGTAAAAGCAAAAAAAAAAGATCAGGGAAGTATTCTCAGGGGAAACATAAAATACTAATTAGTATCTAATTCAACTATCCTGTTGGGGAGGCTACAACATTTCAAACGTGTTAGATTCTGCACCTCTAATTTAAGCAATAGCCTTTTTTTTAAATACTGTTTTTTGCCATAACTCAGTGATAACACTCATCTGCAACATTTTTCATTTATTCAGAAGGATGTCTAAATTTCAGCTGCTATTAGTACATTTTGGATCTATAAGCTGAAATGTATTTAATGTATCATAGTATGAAAACAGATTATTATATACAGAAGGTAGAAGTACTGTATATAAATATTATATACAGACTAAACTGACATGTAAAATCCTTTGAAAGCTTAATTAACAATGGGCATTTTGAAAATATCGTCTGTTTTCACGTCCTTTGATTTGTTATGAACATGTTAGTACTAAACCTCGACTCAATGATGTAGCAAGTGTTTTTAAAAAGAACATACGCTTTCATATTGTGATGGTGAGATGGACAGTAAAAATGGTTCTTGCCAAAACTCCTATATTTTGTCTTCTGATTAAATATTCTACATGGTTTTAGATACTTACTAACATCACAGATACTTTTTTCATTCTTCAAGCACTATGACTTTTGAAAAGTTGGATCTTTTAGTTTAAAAGTTGCCATTAATACATGGCTTTGGGTCTATTTTTGATCTATACCTTAGCTATTATTTTCTTCATTAGGTATTCTCAACTCATTGATTTTGGGGCACTTAGTGCAGTAGCAGAAAAAAGTTGCCACAAGGTTGATGTCAGATGCTGAATGCTTAATAAGCAACAGAATCAGATTTCTGTTTTTGAAAATCTCAACCCTGCTATGATTCTGTGCTTGCACAGCTGAATCAGCATGGTGCTAAGCACTCTGCATCCATTTTGGTTATCACTTGTGCCTAAACACAGAAACAGTTACTGCACTCTATGCAAATAATTACAGGCCTGAAATGCAACTTTAAATGCTGAATCAAGACAGGAGTGCTCAGCATTTTGTTGGACTTTACTCAGTTGCGCTCCTGGGGTTTCCTGAAATTAAGCAGGGGATCCCTGGTGGGGGTGTGAAAATGTTCCCAGAACCTCACTGAAGCCAAAGGAAAAGCATCCATTTAAATAAATGGAAATATTCTATCATTAAAATGGACTTTGGATCCTGTCCCAAATAGGTTTATTAATTCTTGGAGCATCTCCTGTACAGCAAGAACTTTCTCTTGCAAAGCAATATATTGCTACATGATTGTTAAAATATAAAATTATGGAAAATCGGAGGCTTATGAGAAGAACAATTCTTAGCTTTTTATTATGCACATGTGCATGCATGCACACAATTTTTTATTGAGTAAGCACTTTAATTTATCCAGGTTTTTTGCCTGCATCTGAATTTCTGCTTCAGGGATTTCAAAACATCATTTATATGAATTGGTTTGGGACAAAATCCAGTGGGCTGGCTTAAAGTATTGAAGGGAGTTTTGCCAAGGGCCTTACTGTCTGCACATGAAGTTATGGTTCTTCAGTGCAGAAAAAATTATCTGTTTTCATTTTTAGGCATGTCATACCCGAACTGGCCTGAGGAGAGTCCCGTTCCACTCACAAGATTCGATGGCACTAACTCTGTGTTTTCAAGATATGCAAATGATAGTGTATATGCTAACTGGATGGTTTCACACTCAGCGGCAAAGTTTATGGACAAGTTTGATAGCTAAAATTTTCTTTGTGAAAGGTAATGGGCTCCTGAGGAAAGCAAGGAGGCAAAGAGTGGGAAGTCCATTGACTTGTTCTTTGTACAATCAACAACTAACTTTCAAATTGGCAAATCCCTTTATTGGTAGTTTTTCAAGTGTGTTATTTATGCTGAAGACTATAACTGGTACTCTCCTCTTTCAGAAAACATATCAAGCTGGATAAGAGTTGTAGTTCTGGTACTTCTTTCTAAGCTGCCAGTTTGCATATCGTTCCATTTGGCAACTTCTTAGTGCAAATGGCCTTGCACTTCATCCTCAGTGGTTTTTAGACTAACCATCCTGTGTTACAGTGTTCTGGGATGATAAAACGTACCTGAACTGCTACTTTTATAGTGGCTGTTAGCATACAACCACTCGATCTAAGCAGGAAGCACAAAAAATATATAGAAGGGAGGAGGGTAACAGGCTCCCAGATGACTGAACTTGCTATCAAATGACAAGTGTTAGAATGATGTTGGCACTAACAAAGCCAATATCTTGGTTTGGAAGCAAACATTTAGTAACTCAATAGAGGACTTGAGATTCAACATTTGAAGTC